TTCAAAATATCAAAAAGATTTGTACACAAAAAAGTAAAACAATATATCTCTCACTCCTTTTTCTTGAAAATACTCATTTTTCATTAAGATACTATTCACATGCTACCTTTAATGGGTTGATTATTGTTATCTTTAAGCAAATTAATAAATAACTTTTTTAAATGTTTCAGGCTTAATTTCTAATGCTGTAAATATTGATAGATATAACTTCTATAAAAAAGCTCTTTGGAGTCAATTTTTCTTTTTTTTCTTTTTTTTTTTTTTTATTTGACAGAGAGAAAGCACAAGCAGGGGGAGCAGTTTTTAAGAGTGTAAAGCAGTCTTCAGAACAGTAAATTTGAGAACAGCTGATTCATATTTAATCCTCAATTTATGAGGTAATGGTCCTATTCTTTCTTCATTCCAGGAACACAGTTGAGAACACAAGTGAGAAAACAGACACAGAAAGGACTTGCTCAAGATCACACAAGCAGTAGGGCGCCCAGGTGGCTCAGCTGGTTAAGCGTCTGCCTTCAGCTCAGGTCATGATCTCAGGGTTCTGGGACTGAGCCCCGCACTGAGGTTCCCTGTTCAGCGGGGAGTCTGCTCCTCCCTCTCCCTCCCCCTGCTCCTGCTCTCTTTCACACTCTTTCTCTCAAATAATAAATAAAATCTTAAGAAAAAGAAGATCACACAAGGAGTCTTGCAAGCCAGCTTTTGAATACAAATCTGTAATTCCTAACCCTAACTCCTCACCACTGAGCAACAATATCTACCCAAGATAGTTCTATATTGGGTCTTTACTCTTTGTCTTTTAGTCTTAAGAAGTAATGAGTGCTCATTGGAATGTTTTAAATATATAGAATTAACTTTAAAAAAAAAATCAAACACTACAAAACAACCTCCTATCCCTGCCAACACCGTGAGCACCCACTAGAGAAAACTACCGGTAGGAGCTGGGTTCCCACTCATCCAAAATTCATTTATTTATACACATACACACATACATTTTTTATCTGTACAGGCATATTTTTTTAAATGGGATCACACTGATTTAGCGACTTGCCTTATTTCACTTAATATCTCTTGCAGATCATCCTGCATCTACGAATAGATTTACCCCCTTTTAATAGATCACTATCATTTAACTGTACCCAGCTGGGGTCCGCTATATAGCTTGCTTCCAAATTTCTGCTGTTTAAAGAAGTCACAAGAAATATGCTGTAACTTTGTGTAGTTGTAAAGCTGTATCTGTTGGAAAATCCCTGGAAGTAAAATTGCTGGGTCAAAGGGTGTAAACATTTAAAATCTTAATAGATGTTGCCAAATGCCCTCCAAAACGTCCGTGCCCGATTTACATTCCCACTAACAGCATACAAGATTTCCTTCAATAACTCAGCTTTTAAGTGTCTTGGAAAATTATGCCGTATGTTGCTTCAAAAATGCCAAGTAGTAGAACGGCTGTCAGTGGTCATCTTAATTCAGTACAGAACTCTACACAAATCTTCTAACACTCACTGAATGTATCAGAATAGTTATCCATCTTTATTTTTTCCTGAAACCTTTTAAATACCTCAGAAGAGAAAACACACCAGGTGCAAGCAGTATCTTCAACTACTTTGGTCTCGAATTTTAGGTACCCTGATAAAAAGTTACCCAAATTATTTCAGAAGACTCCTTAACACAAATCAGAACTACGCAGTAACGCTGGGCTCAACCATTTAAACCAAAGGAAAGTTCTAAGTGTGGATTTATTATGCTTTATCTGCCCACTCAAAGGACTAGGGCTACAAATAAGAAGCTATCAAATCATACCAGTGGCCAAATTGGCTTACATAAAATAATAAGCAACAGATTTCATATCATAAATGTCAATGGAACAGACTGCAATAGTTAAGAATGGCTGTAATTGGAAAGAAAGTTCACTCAATTTCACATCATACTGAAAATGAAAACATTAATATTTTAAATGAAATGTTTTGAATGTGACCATTTCAGTCATATCAGACTATTGTAAATCTTTGGTACTAGTAAATAAGATATGGTCTTTTTTTGCAGTAGATAAGTTTTAAAATGCATTATACTCTGACCTGCCTATTCTGTACTGGCTAATGGATATTCCAGGCTTCGCTATCTCATCAAAATCTCTCTTCTAGGACTCTGTGCTAGTAATTTTAAGTTGAAAGTCTCCAACCCATCTTTGGGACAGAGTAAGCCCTCATTAATTCAAGTCCAATTAGCTCAATTCTGAAATGGTACAGGTAATTCTCATTAGGCAACAAGTTGAAAATACTGTAATTTCTTCCTCTACAAGTTCTCATGATATTACTGTGAAATAAAGGAAATCAACCTGAAAATCAATTTGCTTTTCCAAACCAAAGATTTACAAAACTAAGGACTCATCCATCTTCGTGGCTGAACAGTTCATCCTCAGTGCGAAGGTCCACTTCTGTTTATCAGCTACTGTATATAGTGAAAGTGATTTAACCTGTCATTATCAATAGCCATTTACAGCTTGGCATATGTGCATTTCTTTTAAGTATCTTGCAACTCAGATTTTTCACAAAGCCATTCTTGCAGTTTCTCCCATTTCCAATTTCTCACTTACAGATCTATAAAATGGCAAATACAGCACCTTAAAAGGTACAGAAGTAGACTCTGCAATGCCTGGCATCCTTATTCTGTATTTATTCTTATCATTTTGAAAGATGTTATAAGCCCAAAAATAAGTCCCAGGATTAAGTGGCATGTTTGGTGTTACTTGAATTTACAACTAACTATTCCCAATGAACAGAGAAACCTTCTCTTATAATCCAAATCATGTGTAATTACAGTATGACAAGGTCTCTCCTGGGCTATGTAAACTGGCATTTTTCCCAGGACTTGTCACATCATGGGAAGCACACATACAAATAAAAATCCAAAAATAAACATTTTAAAACAATGGCTTATAGACTACATAAAGAAACTCCACAGTTGAAAATAAAAAATTGAAGAGCCCAACCAGCAAGCAGGCATCTCTCACTAGAGACGCCTAAGACATCAGTTGTTATCAAGCAGCTTACCACGCCTAGCAACAACTCCCAGGTGTGGGCTTTGCCGGGCAGCACCCTCGTGTTCCGTGTTCCCTCTGGCTGGACAGAAAATCATTAAGTAGGGGAAATGCAGGGGAACATCTCCACAGACACACTGAAGCACAGAAACAGTGGTGAAATCTGGGGAGGTTGGTCATCTTTAATTTCATAATGTCAATTGCTTGATTGTTAAGGCGCCTAAACAAAGTTATCTTAAGAGCTACATCTTCTGGAACTGACTTAGTTTCCCTAATACAATAAATATTGCTTTTTTTGTTCCATGTATTTCATTTCGAAGTGAGTAGCAGCCAAGTAGTCCTAACAGTGGATACCAAGGATCTTAGAAGGTGGTTTCTTTTGTTTAAACTCCTCTGCGGTGGCTCTATAGATACATGGAAAAGGGAGAGGGAAAAGCATCACACCCACCCTCACACAGTGACAGAAACTTGACAATACTCATCCTAATTACAGTGTTGAGAACACATGAAGTAAAAGATCTCTGGCTATATTTTGATCTAAAATGCTAACAAAATTGAAATGTTATTTCCTAGAGGCCATGCATATTCCTACCCCTCTAGTGGAGGCTGGATTCATTTATTAACCATCCAGCAAAGCCCATCAAATTCAACTGTTCAAGTTTTCAGGAAGAGCTATACAACAAACCACTAAAGGCAAAACATACAATCCTACAACCCATTACATGAGCTCTGGAAACAAAACTAAGCATCAACACAAACCTCTGCCACCTCGAAGGCACACAGCATTTCTCCTTTCTTTATTCAGCTCCTCAATGCTCAATAATTTCCAGTAGCTCTAAGCAGAATGGATTTATTATGATGTTACTCTAAGAAACTGCAGGAGTTCTAGATGCCAATAAAGATTACGGATCAAATGGAAGATAACTACTAACCATTGTGTCGAGTTAGATAAATAAACCTGCTCACAAACAAAGCACCTTATTGTATTTGTACTGTTACCTCCACTAATCCAACTAAAACAACCAGACAGTAGCTTTCCGGAGGCTGAAGGGAATAGAAATCGGATTTCTCAAACCCTCTTTAAATTTCCTCCAAAATAACACCCCGTTTCTTTTTTTTCAAAACTGTCCTGCCCTTTATGGAAAATGTTCGGGAGCAGAGGGGCTGAGCTGGATTATGCAAACTAGAGTTCCACGCTAAAAACCAAGGTAGGGAAGGACTGAAGCAGAAGACAGGACCACATCGTTCCTCTGAAACTTAGCTTCGACCTTTGCAGGGACCCTCTTCCCCGCAGATCCCATGGGGCAGAGACTTCGGAACGCTGCTCAAAAATCGAAGGAGCAATCAAGTGCTATCGGGGACTAGGGATGAGTAAACCGCCCCCCCGCCCCCCGCCCCGACTAAGCAGAAAATGCTGATGGTGCCGGGTAGGGGTGGCTAAGCCACAGAAAGGAAAATCTGTGACAACCGGCACCCAGTGGAAGGCAGAGAAGACCCTAAAGAGAGGCGACTTCTCAAGACGGAACAATAACTACATCCCATGATCCTTGCTAAAAACACAGGTAAATCTCAATTTCTCTAGAAAAAAAAAAAGGCGCAAGCTGTTTATTCCCTCCAGCCCCACCCCCCCACACACACACCTCCAAACCCAACAACTAATTGCACCTTCCCCCACAGAACCCGCGGCTAACCCCAGAGGACCGGTGAGGGCTGGCTTGGGATGAATAAACACTCGACACCTGACGGTCCTTTCTCGGCGGTGACTTTCCCGAAGCCGAAGTGGCGCGCGCGCGGGCGGGAGCCCGGACCTGGCCAGCGCGGCGCCGCGCACCCTGGTCCCGAGGCGACGCCGGCGAGCGCGACGCGGGGGGGGCGGGGAGAGGGGCAGGGGGGCCGCCCGGGCCAAGCGATTGTTTCCTCCGCGAGCAAAGACATTTTTTATCAAGCTCCTTTTGTATTCGAGCCCTACCTCTTTTTGGCCTAGGAAAGCTTTCGTGCAAGTGGAAGACGACTTTCTCCACAAAGTGCTGTATGTTACTGTGCTCCGGGCCGCGCACGAACACCATCCAGTCGTGGGTGAAGCCCTCCACGGTGGGTTTTTTCCTCACCTGGGCGCGGTGCCCCAGCTCCAGCTTCACCTGCACGGCACACTGCGGGCAGGGGGAGGAGAGACAGCCGTGAACAACAGGAAGGCGACCGTTCGACACTGAACATTGCGCCTGACATTTTTTTTCCTCCTTCTTGAAACGCACATAAAAGGAAACGGCGGTGCCCTCTGCATCCACGTTTCACGCGCGTGGGCGCGCACACCCCACACCCCCAAACACACCCCACCCGGCCCGCCCGGCTCCCGGCGCCCCGCATCCACACCCGCGGGGATTGTAACGGAATGTTGCCCCCAGTCGGGAAGGGGGTCCGGGGGTCGGGGGGTGGGGGGGAAGTGGGAGAGCACACTCAGCCACTACAAGCCCGACAACAAATGCATCGGAAACAAATTAGAAGACAATTAGGAGGGGATGCCGGGGCGGTTTCCCGGCGTGGGAAGGGACGTAGCCGGGACCCCGAGGGGGGACTCTGGTGAGCCCCCTCCCTGAAAGTACCGCGGCGACAGGCACACGCCGAGGAAGTCTTTGTGTACGTGTGTGTGTGCGTGCGTGTGGAGCGCTGTGCCAGGCGGAATGGAAACTACAGGCAGCCTCTGCTGATGGGCACAAACTCCCGTGCTCTTAGCACTGGGTTCGTGCACAACAAAAATGAGACGTCGTCACACACACACACACACGCCCGCAGGAAAACACGCCGAGGCATCCATAACTTAAGGCACCCCGCACCCCCCAGCGAAAAGCCCCACGCGATCGGCGAGGCCAGCCTCGCAGAGCCCCCGAAACACACTTCCAAGAGCCAAAGTGGCCCCAAAGTAGCTCCCACCTCCCCCCAAAAATAAAAATCAGAAAGGCAGGGCGGCGGGCGGACAGCCGCCGAGGCTCGACTGCGCTCAGCCCAGCGCGGGGGCAAAGTTGCGTGCGGCCCCGCCGCTGTCAGCCCGCACACTCCGGCTCACACACGCGCGCCGCGGAGAACGCACCATCGTAGCGGCCGCCGAGGCTGCTCGCCGCGTCCCCGGACTGTGCCCGCGGCTCCCGGCGGCGGCGGCGGCTGAAATATGGCTGAGTTATTATTCGCCTTCTTCCACCGTGTGTGTGTGAGTGCGCGCGTGTGAGCGAGTGCGCTTCTTGCGATTGCAAAGAGAAGCGAGGAGAGAGGGAGGCGCGGGGGGGGGAGGCGAGTGTGTGAGAGAGAGTGTGTGTGTGTGTGTGTGTGTGCGCGCGCGCCGGGGGGGGGGGTGAAGGGAGGGAGGGGAGCGGAGGCTGAGGGAGAGGCAGCAGCTCCCTGCAAGCCGTACCAACCTTTCTCTAATTGGAACCGCGGAGCGCTGGCGCTGTCTGGGCTGCGGCGGCGGCGGCGGCGCAGGGCGAGGGAGGAAAGGCGGGGGGGGGTCTTTTATTATTATTTTTGCATGTACTTACCGAGCTAGCCATGCCTGGGGGCCCGGAGGTTTGCTGGGGTGTTGTGTGGTACCCCCCTCCCCCGCCCCCCTCAGCTGTAATTCATGAAGAGGCTGCTATGAATGAGAGCGCGCCCAGGAGCGGAGGGTAGATGGCGGACATTCTCTGCCTTTTTCCCCCCGCGTTCGCTTGCTCGCTCGCTCGCTCGCTTATTAAACTCAGCCCCAAAAGCAAAAGCAGCAGCAGCAGCAGCAGCAGCAGCTCCAGGGCCAGAGGATGAGATTCCGGAGCATGCGCCGTGGCGCCTGACACCCGGGCTCCGAGCCTTACGGGGCGGAGGGAGGGCGCGCGGGCGGGGCGGAGCGCGCGGGGAGGCCGAGCGAGCAAGCCAGGGGGAGCTCGAAGGAACCAATCACCGGCCACCTCCCGAAACCCCGGCGGCCCGCACCGCCACACTGGAACGCCCTGCTTAAAGTAACAGGTTCCTACTGGGGAGGAGGGGGGGAGGTGGAGCAGAGGGCGGGGAAGGGGCGCTAGAGTGGGAAGAGCGGCCAGCTGGGGAGCCATCCCGGCCCCTGGGTAAACTCCTCTCGCCCTACAATAAAAAACGGATTAAAACTGCTGGAATGTAGCCACTGCCTAGAGCCCCCAGCAGCCGGAGAAGGGGTGTTAAATCAAGTCTTAGGCGTTAGTACGCTCGGGGGAGGAGGGGGGAGAGGGGGCTTTCTTTTACTTTCCACCCCGTCTTTTTGTGGTTTTGTGCTGAAAAGGCAAGAACTCAACGCCCAAACAAACTTATTTAGGGACAGAACGAGAGCAGCGCCACTCTACAAACAAACAAAAAGCACTCGCTGAGACTGTTATAACCGGCAACAATTCCCTTGGCCCCCTTCCCCATCTACTCACAGGCACCCGCCCACCGGCCCCACTCCCCGCCTTTCTGCCACCGCCACCGAAAATTCAAAAATGAAATGAACAAAAGTGCTATTTCCTTCCAAGGGAACTCCTCCCGCTTTGGTAATCCCCGGCCGGGAGGCAACACAAAGCGGTGCCCAGGTGAAGGTGAGACACCTGCGAGTACCGGGTGCAGACCCGCAGGGACCCGGCTTGGAGTTGTTTTCTTCGGGAGGCTTCCCCTCCTGACGGCCTGGTGGGTTGCATCAAAACGTGAAGCATTGTCCTCTGAGGACACGCGGGGCAACTGGGAGTCTTAAAATAGCAGATAAAGTTAATACTGGCTGTAATGTGCATAAATTGGATTATAATCTTTAGGCGTATTGGTGACAGCCAGCGTAATCCAACTCTGGGTATTAATCCGGTTAGGCTCCCAGGTGACAACCGGCCGCAAGAGTGTTCCCAGAGTCGCGCTCCTGCAAAGGTTCCCACTCGGGATGTATTGGGTCTCAGTGGCCCGGGGTACAGCAGCGCAGGCACGCGTGGGGCGGGGGGGGCGGGAAGGAGTACTGACTAGTTTCCTTTAGCTACGCGGACAACCTTCACAAAGGAAACCGATAAGATCTAGACGATTGATTTGAAAGTGAAAGATGGGTGTAACTCCAGTTCGTCAAAGAAAGATCCTTGCATCTTCCTAGCCCTCATTCCTTTTTTGCCCATCTGTGTCTGTTTTCTTTCCTCCCCTTTTTCCCTCGCCTCCCAACTTCTTTCTGAATTTTCCTTCAGCTTCATTCTCTTCTCCCTGCCTTCCCTCTTAATTTGCCTCTTCTCCTCTTTCTGGCTCAACTTTCTGGCTTTCTTGTTCTTTTCTTTCTTAAAACGACGAAAGCAAGTTGTCTCAGCTCGTGGATTAAAGAGAGCAATATGGGGAAAGGAGGTTACCTGGGGCATTCGGACTCCTGGTTGCTGGTTTTCAGTTCTCCCAGCTGCTCACAGAAAGAGAACCCGAATCAGATCAGAGCACTTCGGGCCAACTTTAATTTCCAATCCATCCCTCCAACTCGAGTGGTTTGAACTACTTAAGATTGGCACTCTGACCTCTCCCCAGTTACAACCTGGAAAACTTCTTTGGCTTGAGGACCCCAATTCCTCCCACCCTTCTGTTGGATTTAGTAGCATAGAGTGAAGGGAACCACTGAGGGGAGAAACATTTTAATCCAAATCCAAGGGCTTAGATTTCTCAACTGACCCACACATACATAGATGCGTATCATCTTGCATATGTGTAGAGTAGGTCTGTGTGTATCTATCAGGACTAAGTTTACATAGACATAGACAAGCTGTGTGTTGGGATCCACATGAAGGGTGGACCTCCTTGCTATGCATTATTCAATTTTTGATAAAATAATTAGAACTCCTTCAAAATAATAAGATAGGGAACTGATGGTTATCTGGATGTGCCATTAGGATAAAGCCATTTCCTATAAGGCAGCAACCATTGGGCAGTGAGTGCTGCTCAACACACAGGTGAAAAAAAACTATCTGATTGTAAAGTTTTGAGCTGACTTTAGAGTTGGGCTAACTTCTTCCAATTCTCTCTGTAACCTGTCCCTGCGCTGAGGGACTGATATCTCTTTTTGGAATTATGTGTTTGTTGGATTAAAGTTTATTCCAGGAGTCACCAATAAGCCTTAGCATCAGAGAGGGTCTTTTCCCATTACCCCTCCTTTCTCAAAGACTCCTTTAAAAACCCAATGTAGGGGTAAATTTCATACTCTAGGCACTGAAAACATAGATTTGGTCAGTAGATGGCGCATGGAGCCCTTCCACCAACGTCCTTACGTGACCTCTTTACAACAAAAAGACCAGGAGGAGGAGAAAAAGAAAGAAAACACAACCCTGAATACTCCATATTCAACTTTTGGGCAAAGGAATTTATGCCAGTCTTTCAATGTATCGTTTATAACCTATTCTAACAAGCTGGCTATTAATTAAAAGCAATCAGAACAGGAATAACAAAAGATTAATTTTGTCCAGCATACCTGGAGATCTCTGCACTTTAAGTGAGGTACAAATTGTGAGAAAGCTTTTGAATACTTAACAGTACAATTGTAGAAAATATTTTGCAAATAAATTTTAACACAAGCTTCTTCAGTACTAAATATTCCCCAAAAAAATGTTTTTTAATGGAAATGTTTAGGGATAAAACCTTCCAAAAAGCAACTATTTTACTGAAGTTCACACTGTAGTATATAGCACAATATGAAACACTATGGGATTAGTTTTGAGGAGCAGAAAAGAAAAGCAATTGACATCATCATTTCAGATAAAATGCTTGACGAAGAATAAAAAAGGAGCGTGTCTGGGACAGATCTTAATTCCTGATCAGCACCACCCCCATCAATGTAGCTCTTCAACCATTGTTTTGGCTTGAGCACTTTTATTTACAGTAGTTTTGTTTAGTGTGGAGTTTGAGGCCAGTTTGGATGTTTCTGGCACAACATAAAGAAGTCCTTTAAAGAGTAATTAGGGGGTTAAGGAGAAGTTGTTGCTTCTTAGTAGGATTTTATCTAGTTATTTGTTGTGATAAATTATTCATGCATAAGCTCAAGTAATCAAATCAATAAAAATTAACCATTGTTCATCCTTTTCTGTATGGATTTGGGGGGAAAGAGAAAAAGATGTATGAAAAAGAAACCAGATAATGGGACAGACACTAACCAGACATCTGACAAATATTAGACTCGGAATAATTAAGGATTTTTTTTTATAATAGTGCACTTTTTTCTGTGTACTTTATTCATGTGTTCATTCAACAAAACCATATTTTGCTCCTTCCATGTGCCAGGCACAGAGTTAGGCTGTAAGAAAGTAAGAATGACAGGGTTCCTGTTGTAATAGTTTATGACCCAGGGGAGAAGTTTCACCAAATGTTTTTTTGGTTTTTTTTTTTTTATAATTTCTTATTACCTAAATTTGGGATACAGATCTGTGTCACACAAAAGCAAGCAGCATACAGATTTGTCATGAACATCCCAAGGACAAGAAAAACAGTAGCACAAGATTAGAAGCTGGGACTCATTGCCTTCAATACTTCAGATTGCATAAATCTTTCACCTTTTACTCATCGCCTTCAATTCCACGGGTTAAAACTCAGATAAGGTGGGAGGGGCGTTGATATCTTTTTTACAAAAGCCAAGTCCTAATTTCCCTCTCCTTCATCTCAAGTGTTTTCTATGTTCACCTTATTGCAGCTCTTTTAAGAAACATTCACAATGAAAGAAAGCTTACTAAGCCTTTTCAAGATCATGAGCATATTTTCTCAGTTGAGAGTCTCCCTGTTTCTTATGGAAATTTTTGGTTCAAAATGTTACATTTTTAACATTAAATTTAATTCATGATTCTAGGATAGTATATTGGGAGCCCCAGAATAGTACAAATCATTACAGCTTTGAAAAAACAATTGCTTTGATATCCATTTAAGCACCTAGTCTAGGACTATTTCCAGTGATAAGAAATACACAAAGCTTTTTTAACCACCAGAGCCTCTTCATGTGTAAATTATTCCCTGGGAGTAATTTAAGCAATGCACTTATACATTCAGAAGACAAGAGTGCCTGCACAGTAATAATTTATTAATTTAGTGGGCTGTATTCCTAATTCAAAGTATAGCACCCCAAGGCCTGAAAATTAATCAAGGATGTTATGTAAGACCAACAATATGAAACAAGATAAATATTGGAGGTCAGTTGATATAGTGTGATTGAAAATGTCTTCCTAATATATACAAGAACCCCAGTGGAATATTTATAGGTAAAATACATCTTAAATTGAAATTACTTGCTGTAAAACAACCTATCTTAAAAGTAGATTATCTTTATGTATTTCTGGCATCTCTTCAAAAACTACTGCATAACTTCCTTTCTTTAATGATTTGGCCTCCTTGATTTTCAGTGGAAATTCGGTTTTCATATATGATTTCACTTTTCCCATTCACGTATTATGAATGGAGAGTTAAAATAATCACTTTGTCCAGAAATGATAAACTATACTTTGTCTTATTTGATAAAAAATGGGAAAATAACATATCAGGGTTATGAACTAATACATTCAAACAAGTCAAACTTCAATTAAAACTGCAAAAGAGGGGCATCTGGGTGGGTCAGTCGGTTAGGCCTCTGACTTTAGCTCAGGTCATGATCTCAAGGTCCTGGGATGGAGCCCTGCCCCAGGCTCCAGGGCTCCGTGCTCAGTGGGGAGTCTGTTTGTCCCTCTGCCCCTCCCCCCACTGCTGCGCGCGCGCGCTCTCTCTCTCTCTCTCTCTCTCAAATAAATGAATAAAATCTTAAAAAAAAAAGAAAAGAAAAGAAAAGAATTACAAAACTGCAAAAGGAATTTAGGAAGAA